TCTTCAGTAGGCATATACATATATTTATAGAAAGAAATAGTTTAGGTTCATTATATCACAAAGATTCTGTTGAGTTCATTGTAAGATTCATATCTTGAAATTTTGATCTATAATCACATAAAAATAACTTTAACATTGTTGTAACACTTCCCTCCCCGATGTATATTAACGAAAAAGTTAACCCATGGTTAATACCTAGTTTATGGCAAATGAAATTCATTGTTCATGCAAATGAAAAACCAATCTTAACGATGATACAAATAGAGTACATGTTTCATTTAATTTCAAGTTTCTTTTTTAATTCCTATATATAGTAATTGAATCAATAAATACTACTTCGAAGACTTACAGATTTCTTTATAGCAAAAGTAGATCTATAACAATTATGACTCTTGAAAACGGAAATTCCCTCAAGATGGGTTCCCATTTTTCTTAGTCAAGAGATCATTTACGGAAATATATAGTATGTTCTCTCCCGTAAAGCCTGGCCGTCAACTAATGAGGGAAAATCACCTTTATTCCTTCAATTATAATTGTGTATTTGTTTATAAGGGTTAGGATTAGAAAAAAGGACAACTAATGGGCTAACAAATTACTTAGCATTTCTTATGAATGAACTTGACCCAACACAGGAATTGATATAAAACACACACAGACACACACACACACACATATATATATATATATAACAGTTACATATAATTGGCAACTATAGCCCAATATAATTTCTTTATTGGAGAATTGATAAACTAGTCACAATTCCTAACTTAATTAGTAAAAATAACTACACCAAAATAATTATTTAAAATGTCAATATTTTAAAAAATAATAATATTTTAAAAAATAATTTGTATCCAAATATTGTTATTTGTCTTTCCTTTTATTTTTTAAATAGTCCAACATTGGACCAAATTCTACACCACTAACCTATAAAAACGAAAAAGAAATACATCCACTTCCCATTTACACTTCTTTCTAGGTTTTAATACCATTAAATTTATTTGTCATCTTTCACGTTTTCAAATTTTTTTTCTCTTTCGTCAACTTTTCAGTTTTCATTATTGTCCCTATCATGCATGTTTTCTTATTTTTTTGTCTTTCATCAAATTTTCGTCATTATTCTCTCCCTCATTGTTTAAGAAGAACTAATTATTAAAGTTCGTACCAATTTGTTCAAATTTATCAACTAATTCAAGAAATCTTTCAATTGTTAAAGGTATTTTCGAAGTCATTATTTACTTTGCGAGATTTCATGAGATTTTGTTTTCAAGTCAGAAATTATGTTGAATTTCAGATTGTATGTATTACGGATTTTTCATTATTTATTTTTTATTCTAATGTGAGTTTGTTAACATACTCATCAAATATTTATGTATTTCGAATTTATATTATTTTAAGCACTATTTGTTTGATTTTTTTTGTAATTTTATTTTCATATTTGAGATTTAGTTGATTGTAATATGTATTAATCAACTTAAGCATTCATATACATCATATATTGTTTGATTTTTTAAATATTCATATTTAATAATTTTGATTTTTTCTTATAGGACTATAATGCACAAGTGAATACAGATTCACATTTGGGTTTGGTGAAAAAAATCGAAAAAGGAACATAGCATACGAAGAAGAAAAAGAGAGTTAGAGAAGATGGTTGAAAAATTGTATCATACCAGAATAACATTCATATTAATTTTTGTTTGTCAATTGTTTTTCTTTACTCATTATTTAAATTTTTATTAAGAACATTGTATTTTTTTTTTAGTTTGTAGTCATTCAAATAAGTACGCCAAATAGATTTGTATTTCAAGCATAGATGTATCCTACTTTTTTGACAGTCAATTTGTATTTTTTTAGTATATTGTATTCTTCCTCAGCAGATTGTAATACTTTCACTATGTATACTGTTTGTTTTCCAGAATCTTGTATCCCCATTTCTTTCAAGGTAATTTGTATTTATGTTTTAGAATATTATATATTTTTCCTCAATAGATTGTATTATTTTCACCATGTATGCTATTTCTTTTGCAGAATATTGTATCCTATCATAAATTATATTCACATGTAATGATTAAATTATATTGAGATACAATCTGTAATATTTTTGTATGCAAATAAAAGAAATACATATTAGACAGTCATATAATACAATTTTAATCATTGAAACACAATTTGCAGTTTTCACTATGAAAGTAAAATATCAAGTTTAATTTGAATGGTAATGAACACATAAATGTAATAATTATTGGTATAGAATTACAGTGAAAACATAATAAAAAGGAAAATTTATCCAATAGAATGAAAAAGGGAATTTTTTTTAAAAATTGTAATTGTTGACAATTTTAAGCTGATATGTTTCTATATTAAAAAATATTATCTCCCTTGATTTTCTTCTTTCTAAATAATTGTAATCTTGAAAATCAAAGAAATAAGAAATATAGAAATCAAATACATAACAACCTAGAATATTGACATTTTAGATAAATATCGAAAGAGTGGCTAAGGAAACTATTAAATGTCAAAATATTGTTATTTTGAAAAAATTCCCTTTATTTATTTTTAACTAAAAGTTAGCATTAAGCCTTTTATTATGAAAAAAGAAAATTGAGTTATGTACAAGATCAGACCTAAAAATGGTCTGACCCAATGTACTTAGTGTAGGAATAGTAAGAAACATAAAACTCATTAGGTTTAGTGAGAAAAAGATTCATCTTCCTACTGCTCAATCTCTCTTGATAGCTCAAGTATGAATGACGCTTTGCCCAAACCAGTTTACTCCTCCATTATTGAAGTTGATAATTCTAGTGCTGCTAGATCAGTTCAACAAATATTTCATCTAAACTTATACTAGCTGCAGGTTTGAATCAAGATGCCTCTCTATTCTCCTTATATGTTGTTGTTGTAATGATTAGGTTCCATCGTTAGAAAAGTCAACGGGAAAATTTTTTGGATCTAAAAACTTTTTCGTGGTAACTTGAAGTCTCGATATGGACGAAAATTGGAGTCATGAAGGTGTAAGGAAATCTGGTAAAAATCGAGTGAATTATTTAGAATTTTGATTACATGAGTAGATAGATATGTCGTTAAGGAAACCGTACGATTTTACGAAATGGAATTTGGGCTAGTAGAACTCCCGAAATCGATCTTAGCGTGAACAATATTTTATGAACATCATTGGATAAAGGTGTGTTGTGAAATGGGAGTCTTGGAATTATTAAAATAATTCACTGTTTCATGCAAGCCGCTTTGGCGGTGGTTTTGGTCGCTCTGGCGATGCCGTTGTAGCGGGGTGAGGGCCACTATGGTGGGCCAGACGCGACTTAAAGTTGTAAACAAACTCCTAAACATCCTTATTTCTGCACTTCTCTTGTTTTAGAGCTAAGGAACGTACCTTAGACGATTCTAGACAGTTTTCACCATTTTGAGGCTAAAGGTAAGATTTTAACTCCTTGAATCCGTTTTTTGATCTATAAATTGTAAATTAATGGGTAATTATCGATGGGGGATGGGATGATATAGAAACTATGGTGGAAAAAACCCTAACTTGAATACCTGTGATCATGGGTATGATCTAAGATTGTTGGAATTGTTAGTAATCCGGGTAATTAGTGATAATTGAATGATTTCCGTATCACATTGATTGTTTGTAGACCAAGAACAAGCGGAACAAATTCGGGAAGGGAAGGATCAAGTTTCTTAGGTTTCAAACTTGTTTCGACGTAGGTGATGGTTGTGATTATATGATGTATGTTTGTTGACAATATCTAACAAAAGGATGAAAATTATTAACTTTCAAATACTCGGAGGATGTTTTTTGTCAAAAAAAGATATATTTACTTAAGATATAATTTAAACTTAGGGTATAGGTTAAAGATGTTTTTGACCAAGAACTCTTCTCGAAAATGCCCGAGTTTTGCAGTTTGTCAAATTGCTTACTTCTCCTAAAAACATTTTGCTACTACAAAGAAAAACTATTTCCCCAAGGAAGTCTCAAGCATGTCAAAATGAGTTTGTCTAAGCAACACCATATTTTATCTTTATTTATTACAAACATTCAGAATATACATGTCTTATTTTGAGAGTTTTCTGTTGGAATCAACAATTTGGTACTAGTTGGCATTGCAATACATGTTTTACTGGATTATTGTAATAAATTTCTCCAATTGATGCTTTACCTATTTCAATGTAATCTAATCATAAAACTAGGAAAATTACTCGCGCCTCGCGCGGAAACTTAATATCAAAGAATTTATAAAATAATATTTTAAATCTATTAGTTATTAAAACTAAAACACTGTATTATCTCATATACAAGATTATTACGTGGTAACAAACATTAATAATGTAAAGAAAATGAAATTTATTACATCCTATCATTTATCCTTACTAACATAAACATATTAATGACTTAATAAATTATACTAAGATCTGTTATATAAGCAATCATCAGTGAGCCACTCAACAGGAACAAAGTACATAAATATTAGTTGTGAAGAATAAGAAGAGGAGGAGGAAGTGATTTAGAATTTTCGTTGTTTTAAAGTGAGAGGAAATTCTTTTATTTATAAACAACAAAGGGTACCGTGCACAAATGTTTATTATACCTTATCTGAAAGGCTAAAACTATTTGGAAAAGTTGCAACCTTCCGAAAGCTCACAACCTTTCATAAAAATCACATCTCTTTATAAAAGTCGCAATTCTTCATAAAAGTCGTAATTCTTCATAAAAGTCACAACTCTTCATTAAAGTCACAACTCTTCATGAAGTCGCAATTTTTCATAAAATGAGAAGGCTACTTTTGAAAATAAATAAATTTAAAAGGGAATTCTGGTTTGTGGTGGTGCCACACAGACAGGTCGAAGATTTTCTATATATATATATATATATATGATTCTACACTGATCATGATCATGATGACATACTCGAAAACTGGTTTACTTCGAAAAAGCAGAAATGATGACTTATGATACTAAAGAACCAAAACAGATGTTGGTAATAGTTAAAAGAGAAGAAAAAATTGACTGTAAAACAGTTGAACAAAATTTGAAGCAAATTACACTGCACTGTACTCCAAATTCCTCCAGCTTTCATAATTAGGAGAGAAATTGTTTCGATTGCTTTACGATAATGTTACTGGTTCAAGTTTTGCACATTTTCTTGTACTAGAAATACTATGAATTTTAACTGCTACATTACCTTCTACCTAAGCTCACCGTAAACCTTCATCCAGTGATCATTTTCACAAGTCATAATGTAAGATTAAGATTCTGAAATTTGGAAGCAGTTGGCTCTATCGGCGTTCAGCACCATGAACAATTTCGGATTAACCTGATTGTTTCCTTCAGCTATTAGGGTATTCAATCCGTCCACCTCTTCCAGCAATTCTGAGGTAACTACCACAGAAATATTCGACAATGGTATTCATTGGCCAACTAAAACCAATTTGAAACACTGAAATCCCTTAGCTTACTAAGATGTCTTTCCATGTCTTGCCTTGTCTTCTTCCACTCTTCTTTCTCTATCACAGTGGTAAAATCATCTCTTTCCTCCTACATTAATATGATGCTCCCTCATCAGAGATGGATAGACAGCGATAATAATACAGAGATAAGAAAGAATTGGAGTAAGAATACTCACTGATGGTATAATTTTGAATGAGTTCCCGTTATCACGGATGACAAGTAAATCATTCTTCCTATCCCTGCTTTTTCCTCCAGGAACTGTCACCTGTTTTTGGAACACAAAATAACTTTTTAATACTAACGATAAATGATTTGAGAAACCAAAGGCTACAACCAGATGCTCAATGTCTACCAGTTGAAACAGATTTTGATGGGAAATGTCTAACTTTTTGCAGCCAATATCTCACTGTAACAAAGCATTTCTTCATTCTCCACACCATAACAACAATAAAAAGGATAATGATGCAATGAATTTTTACACAAGTGTTTAGTTTTTTCTCTTTCTTTTCAAAATTCTTTCTTTTTTTTTTCTCGGAGAAAGGCGAGGTGGGAAAGAATGATCATTTTCTTGTCCACTACAGTTTCTTTCATTATATTTTGCAGACAGCCTAACTATAGTTGTATCTGATGTGCCTCCCAACAAAAGAACAACAAAATTATAATTAAAACACTTAATATAATAATGCTTACAACAGCTGTAATAAGCCACAATAAGCACTATTATCGAAAAGAGGGTCTGTGAAGAGCTATTGTCACTGTGCAGTTACATCTGGGACAATATATTTAAAAGTTGTAATAAAAGCTCTTTCATTGGATACTAGTATTTACCAACAAGAAATTGCACATCAGACTCATAAAGATAAGTACATCAAAATGCAAACCTATTATAACAATAAAACTGGACTTTTAGGGAGTGGTAGAAATATATATATCAAAGTTATCATTTTCAAATGAGTTCAAGACCTTAAAGAAAGGGCAAGTTACACGTATCTGCGTTGAACATATTTCGAACATTTCTGATACTTTTTCTTATGTTTTTCAATCAGAAATACAATATCTCCTAAACTTTTTATCATTAAATCATGTATTTTATTTTATTTTTTGAAACTGGTAAATGTGTGAATTCATGTATTTAATCATTCAAACTTTATACCTTTTCTACAGACTAAATCCTACATAGACAATGCAAAAGGGATAAAATGAAAAAAACAATAAATAAATAAATAAGAGAAAAGCCGTATTTCTGTAGTTGTTACACATTTGAAAGAAGATGAGTAATATTTGGGACTGCTGATAAGGTATGCTTCAGAAGTATTCCAAACCTTTCCCTTAAAAATTCTTCCATCCAACCTTACCTTTCTCAGGAAAACTATATTTAAAGTACACATGTTACTTCCCTTAGACTCGTTACCTTGTTCGACTGAACAATCCAACTTTCATGTCTAATAGTATGTAAGATGTTCCGAGCATACCTTGTCACTTACTTTTCAAGGGCTTTGCAAGGGAAGTCCTACTATAAAATGCCAAGAAAAGAAACAGAGAGACAGCTAGAAAATGAGTCTTTGTAAATAAAGAATTGATAGGAAATATGGCTGTGTTAGGGGTTCAGATTCTTGTCTTTTTAACCTAATTTTATGTTTCATTGTGTAGCAGTGATCACTGATTGTGCAACACTCTGTCAATTGAAGCATTTAAGAAAAGCATAATTATGGGACGAAGAAAAATCTTTAATACAAGGCAGAATAAGCAGTTAGAGAAAGGATAACAGTTTTATGTCCAACCACCCAGCAAGCGAAAGTAGGAAAGGTTGAGTCCAATTAGAAATATTACAAATAAAGGTAACTGTTGTTAAACAAGGTGTTATTTCCACCTAACTATTCTATTAAAATCTAGAGGCAATCTAAAGAACCAAAAAAGTGGATCAACATTCTCTAATTTGTATAAGAGTCTGTCCTTGTGATTCTTGATACAACGAAAGCAGCTACAATGAATTCATAACACCTATCAGAAGCTCTTTTGATGGAGGAGAAGTCAAGAACTAGGAGCTTGCTCTATCACATTCTGAAGACTATACTTGGGCATCTAATAGACCAACTCAACCAAATTTTCTCTTGAGCCGGCTCAAAGCCACATATCTTTGGCACAACATTCATTTAGAATCGACTTCTCATATTGCTCTTTGTTTGCGCTCAGATTTCAAAAATTGTTCACGACCTGTGTAGAATCCTCCAAAATGCACTATTTTAGAGGATCTGATATGCACCGATTGGCATTTTTGAAGAGGCAAATCAGCATAGGCTTTTAGAGTAATTCTAATTTCAGTCCCTAAATCATAGTCAAAACAGTTATTAACACACACACTCCTTACCTTTTCATACTAGTAGTCATAGTATTACTCAAGGAGTTTCTTGTCCCTCAATGTCACTTATTATCGTTATTACTTGCATTTTGATATCGTATTATTTTGTAGCAGTTGCATTTCTTTTTTCAAAATGCTTTGACATACTTCTTATAGTATTTTCCCATGACCTTCACTCATGTTATTTCTTTTTTCGATTAGCTTTGAAATTATTTCCTTGAGCCGACTACCTACAAGGTAGGGGGATAAGGTTTGTGTACACTAAACCCTTCCCCAGACCCCACTTGTAGGATTACACTGGATATATTGTTGTTGTTGTTGTATACTCCTTCCCTTTTCAGTATAAAAATGAAATCCTTTGGCATCATCAGCAAAGTGGAATTGGCTCTTTTGGGTCTGTTATATGACAATTCACTCCGGCTCTATTGCAAACAAAACAATTACCACTTATCAGTGCAAGGCAGCAATTGCAACCTTACCACTTCCTCTCTTCCATAGAACAAAGAAATAAATTTAAACTTAAATCCATTAGTTTTCCCCCTTTGCCTCTTACCCTCTTCCATGCAAACTCCTCCTGAACCCTGCACCCTTTCCCTTGAACAAAACAACCATTTCCCCAAATTTCTGTATTCCTTTGCACCGTATAATTTAGTCAGAATTGATTGTTGAGCGGTGTAAATTGTTAAACATCTCTTCAAAGAATTAACAATCCAATTTTTGGAACTCCAATTACACAGGCAGCAAATTCAGCTATGAAAATAAAAAAGCTATGTCCGCGAAATAAAAGATGATCGCTTTATCAGCCAAGTTACTTTTGATCAATAAAAAATTAGCTAATCTAGAAGAAAAGGTGTTCAATCAAATTTGTAATGATTCCTTACCACTACTTTGGCTCTTGTAATTGATTTGGTTTTAGAATCAATAACGTATATTTCTTCGAAATCAAGAGCAAATTCTGGATCACCTGCCCTGCGATTCCTGTAGTGCTTTGTCAAGAATACCTGCAACAGAAACATGCTGATCATACGACCCATAGAATGCAAGATTAAACATTCTTACCTTCCTAACATAGCCTTCATACCAGTCCAGAGGAGATGTCTGGATTAACTACTTGAACATCATAGTTGTGTGATACAAGCATAAGAATTTTGATGAACATTTTTCAGGATACATGGATGGAGTACAAGAGATCAATATATAAGACCTAAGCAACAAAAAATCCAAAATGATCACCAAAAATGGGTAATAAAGTTTACGACCTCCCTCCAAAAACAAATCAAGAACAAGGATTAAGGAGGAAGATTTGCCTGAAAGCAAAAATAAAGAAAAGAAGATACAAAAACAAGAATACTAAAAGTGTTGTTCCTTGAACTTTTTCCTTTCATATTTTTTTATGTCTCAATGAAAGCTCATCTCGTAGTCCAGCTTGCATTTTACATAACAACTAATACTACTTCACAAGCTTCATACCTTTAGCAAAATAAACTGCATATACAGCATATGACAGAACAAATGTCTAATCAGTTGAACCAGAAGACATCAATACCTTCATAATTTCCCTCTCAGATTTATACATGGGATCTCTAGGTGCATCAATGGGAGGCTCTGTCACATTGTAGCACCCATAATCACTCATCGCACACCTGATATACTACATGAAAAAACATATTGCTGATCAAGAAGTTACTTAAACCCAGTATATCTATTGTAAGTTGAATCATAAGTACTCAAAAGTAAGTCATACAGAATTCAACATGTACAATCATAAATATATAAACCTTCTGAGGCATTGGTGCAAGAACTCTGGGAATGGCATATATATCAGTATCTGGAGGTGTAACATACATCTGCATACCGAATAGAAATGATACTTCATTAGCTAGCACATACATTGTTAAAACGGTAATTAACATTCAAATTTCACTATCTGAATTCTCCTACACCCCAAACTTTGGTCTAATGTTCTTTTCATATGCCGACCTACCCATGTTGAACATACACACGGGTGCGGTAGTACTAGGTGCAGTCCTTCAAATACTCCATAAACTTTATCAAATTGACAATCTCACCAGGATATATATCAATTGGCATACCAAATACACACCCATATTTGAGTCCATGTAACATGGAAGGACAAATCCCTATTTCTTTTTAAAAAACACATCTGAGGTGTAATCCACCCAACAGCGTGTCCAGTCCACAATCACAGGTTTTGCCAATGTTATTATGCTCATAGGTTGAAGCAGATTGGCACCAAGTTTGAAAGCTATTATTCCGATAGTGATCAACAGTACATTATTCCCCTGACTCAGCCTCTAGGTCATCCCTTTTGGACAACCATGTTAACCATTTTATCAAGACAGAAATCAACAAAGTGTTTACATCAATATGCATTCCGAACAACATTACATATAACACTAGGCAAAACGCTAAAATGAAGATATTTTATCCATAAAAAGAAACCATATATGCAAATTCCAATGTGCAGATTCTACTGCAAACATACTAATGCTCCCAGCAGAAAAAAAAAGAAAAGAGACAGAGACTCAGAATTTAACCTCACGAAAATCATAAACATCGTCATCAGGATCAGGAGGTTTACGAATGAAGAAATCACAATCGAAAAGGCAAATTTTATGAAACTCCTCCTCCTTAATCCTATAATCCACAATTTTCTCCGAATCCCATCCTTGAGTAAACACAAAGCTACTGCTATTCACCATCGCAATGTCATCATCACCCCTAGCAACAGCTAAAGATATAGCACTACCACCACCTAAGAGGGTATCATAGTCAACATCAAAGTCCTTCTTGTTGTCTGCTTCTTCCACTTCATCTTCGTCCATGTCATATTCATCTGTACCTCCACCGTCAGCATCTCCGTCATCCGCGAACACCCTGAAATCCGGTCTTTTTGAGCTCAAACTTTGTTTAACAAAAATGAGGTTGTTGGAAATTGTCTTAGCGAATGAAACGGTGAAAAGGGTCGGTGTAGAAAGTGAAGAAGGTGCAGTGGAGAAGGTTGAAAGCTTCACCGGAAGCGGCAAGAGGAGACCGGCGCTCATAGTTGTTCAGTGAGTGAAGAGGAAAAAAAAGTGAAGCGGGGGAGTGGATTAGATTTGTACTTTTTGTTACTCATATTATGGTCCTTACATATCCTAGATTTGATACTTAAGCCCCCTCGAAAGCAGGGATGGCAAAGATGCGGGGCGAGGTGAGGCGTGTTAAATTCGTTAAGAGCTACAAATGTTTCGATCCACCTAACCTTGCCCTGCCTATCTCATGTAGTAAAATAATTTATTTTCAATTTATTTGACCTCGTTTTATCATGTCCCTTTTAAATTCGTTCCACATAAATTTATTATATATAGTTTTTTTTATAATGACTTTCGTGCCACTTACTTTGTTCTATATATGTTAAAAAAGATTAGCTGAAACTTTTGTAATATAAAATCAATTATAAAAGCTTGATTTCTTGATCTTTAGAACTCCGATTGAGCTGATTTCTGTTTCTAATTGCTATTGGGTTTTTGAGTTAGGATTATTGGGGGGGGGGGGGCATTATGGGCTTCTTTTGGAGGTAATTTCTCGTTCAGAACCTCCTTTGTTATCTCTTTAATGGTGATTTCTTGAAGTTTTAGTGTATGAGCTTTTAAGGTGGATTTAAGGCTTAGATTGTGACCTTTTTGGGGGCACAGGCTCCTCGGTTGAATAAGATCTCTCAAAATGCAATTTTGATTTGTTTTAAATTTCATCTTCAATTATTGTAATTTGGGTGTCAAAAAAAGTCTATATTAATGTCGTGGTCATTCATTTGATAGTGTGACCACAATTGGAGGCAATTCAGAAGGTTAAGCTCTTGCTTAGTGATTAATTTGGAGCGCGCATGATCAATTTTGAGGTAGAATACGACTTACCGATCTTAGATTGAGTTTTTGTTGCTATTTTCATGTTATTTAGCTAGTATTGGGAGGTTTATCTATCTTGAATCATGTTTTGTTGATAGAACACGTGATTTTAGCCCCTTTTTGGATAGTTTTTGGGAAATTGAGCATTCCTTCTTAGTTTACATGTTGTATTTTACCCTGTTGTATCTATTTGTTTGATTGTAGTGATATTGATGGCTTGTTCTTTGCCTTAGACTAGGCATAGGCTAGTGATAGCCTTAGACTTGCTATTTGGAGCTATTAGGCTTTAGAAATCCCCTGCCTTCGCTTCAGACGACTTAGCTCTCACTAGAGTGATGTAGCAGACTTGGGAATGATAATATGAATCCTTAGCTATGCGACAACTCAACTCGTGTAACTGTTCGTCCATATATTTCCTTATGTAACCTTAGTGGGACACAATCAGAGTCTAATAGCCATTGTTCGAGGCCTTAACACATCTCTTATAACCACTCTTTGAGGCCCTACCGCATCTCTTTTAATTTAGCAATAGTTTGAGGCCTTGGCGCAGTTCTAACAACCTTGGTGTGAAGCCCTAACACATTACCACAAGCCACAATTTGAGTCCGGGTACAATTCTATCTGTCAGGCTTAAGTCTAGACATTGTGGTTTCATTGGGTTCTTTGGGTTGCCTTCGCCGCAATTTGAGTCTGAGGACGGACGTTATAGTTCTTAAATACTTCTAATCCTTGCTAGTATTATCTTTAGCTCTTATGTGATCTCATCGAGCTTATGAGGGTCCATTAAGGTTATTTACTTTCCAATTGTGCATTAATGTACCTTCTGGGCTTATGGAGGTCCAATTAGGTTATAGATAGTTGTTTTACTTTACTGTTTTGTTCATCTAGATTTGTGGGCTTTATATTTAGACTTTATGTTATTGTTTTGTTTTTCTGACCTCTAGTCACCGTTATTTCCGCGCTTTTCATATAGTATTTACTTTTCAAGATTGATCGACGTATGATGCTTACTGGAAACCTATTCTTTTATACTTATGATACACTCTACATTTTGTTTTCTTGATGCTGACCTTAACACCAGCCGACAACGGTGATTCAAGCTTTTGTGGAGATTGTAAAAGATAGAGAATGTATTGATGACGTCTAGTTCGACTTATCTCGCTCGGTATATAGTTTTAACTAATCTTTTGTACTCAAGACAAGTTTGTGCTTGTTTAGTCTACTTTTGGACTTGTATTCTTATAGTATCTTTGTACTTTCGTCCACTAGGTCACGAGATTAGACCAGTGAATATATGTTATGATTTTGTCATTTTTTTAATATTGCGTTCTCCTTTAAAATGTTATTATATTGATTCTTCCCGATATGCTTGTTACTTGTCATTCTGAGATACGCGTTGTCTTATCTAGAAGTGGATTACAATAGATGTCGTCATGGCTCGAGTTTCTCGACCATGACAACAACTCATCAAATTAATTAATTTTGCAAATACTAATATGTTGTTCTCTAATTTGATCGAGGTTAAAATGGGGTATGACAGATCTACTATACAAACGGTTAAATTAGATTAATAATAAAATTTTCTTATAGTAATCAGCATATTTATACTAAATTCTTTTAAGAGTTAAAAATATGAAACTAAAAGACAAATGTTAGATACATTCATTAGGTTTCTTTTCTGAGAATGTTATTCAATACAAGTAGTTTAAGATTAAAGTACTATTCATTATGACATTTATTTTGCAAATGACTTCAGCAAATTGATGGGGGTGGTTGAGCTTGCGTCCAAAATGGGCGGATTAATAATATAAGTTTAATTGAATCGTAAATTTGATTCTAATTTTAATATTTTAAAAAATTTTAAGCTAATTTTCGAATTATTTTTTTATTTGCATGTAAGGTTGTATCTGATGATTCTTAAATTTCTCATATGTATAAAGCTAAATTCTTTAGTGTTGGAATGAATTTGTATATGACTAAAGGTCAAAAGATTGAGAAGAAAAATAATAAAATTAAAAATAAAGAGTTAAAAATATGAGTATTAGGCAAATAATAATATAGGGTCAAACTTTTAGGAGATAAATAAGAAAACACAATTTCCCACTTAATAAAAATTATTTTCAAAAAATGTTTCATTCCGTAAAAAAGTGGGAAAAGTCGAAAACTAATTAATTTTTTTTAATACATCTTACATGTTTTTTTAAAAAGAAATTATTAGAAGTACATATATATAGGGCAACTTTCACATATAGCAAACAAAAAATTCATATTTGTATGCTATAGCAAAGTTTGCAAAATTACGCTCCATAGCAAACATAAAACTGTATAATTCGCTATACATATACAATTGTATAATTCGCTGACCTAAATTGTATAATTCGCTGGCCTATTTCGCTGCAATTGTATAATTCGCTATACTATTTCGCAGACAAAAACAGAAACACAAAATATACACTTCTGTTATATAACGCTAGAGAAAATTGTGTTTCACTGCAATTGTATAATTCATTGGCCTTTTTCTCTGCAATATTTGAAGTAAAATGTTTTGTAAATTGTATAATTAAGTGTATAACATGAAGATATATATATTTTTGCATGTGTATATACAATTTTCTCCCGCTTTATACAAAACAGAAACAGAATTTATACACTTCTGTGTATAAAGCGAGAGAGGCGAGCGAGATTTTTGGGAGAGAGACGCCTGATAAAATTTAGCTAACGTTTGCTATGGAACACAATTAAATCAAACCCTAGCTACTCCATTTATTTTAGGTTATTAGTTTGCTATTATATACAATTTTTTCAATATATATATATATATAAGTTAATTTTTTAAAAAAAATGGGAGCCCACAAAATTATGAGGTCTCAAGCGGTGGCTTTAGTAGCCTCGTAGTTAAAACGGCCTTGCATTGCAGATTCAAAAAAAAAAAGATCAAAATCACTGGCTAGTTTGACAAGGCTTTCAAAATCATACGTTTTGATATATAAGGCTCCAAAATCATATCCGTTATAGCAAGTTAGGGGAAATCTCAATTCTTCAAGGCTTTCAAAATCATAGCCGTTATAGCAAGTTAGAGGAAATCTCAATTCTTCAAGGCTTTCAAAATCATACATTTTGATATATAAGGCTCCAAAATCATAGCCGTTATAGCAAGTGAGAGGAAATCTCAATTCTTCAATTCTTTGTTTTCTTCCATGGCGGAACTACAGTTTTGGTTTCTCTTCCAGTCTTTTCTATGAGAAATTGTCACACCCACAGGCCTGAAATCACACGTTCAGGGAAGAAGAAAGAGCAGGAACCTTCAATTCGATGAATATATACGGAGTAGGAAACAATTCACAAGAGAAATCTGCAGGTAAAATTGACTGTATGAGCTTGTTTATTTTGAAGGGTCTGTAACAACGGGGGTAAGAGTATAAACCCTGATGCGCCATGTTCCCATTAGTTGTTAATTTCTTTTTTTTTTACACGCTTTGTGATCTGGGATTTCTTTTGGCTTCGTCCTTTTTGTTCTCTTTCGAAATTTCGAACCAACAATCTTATCCCCAATGTGAGTTTGAATTTTGAAGGAAAAATTTTCACTGCTAATTGTTAAATTGGTTCTTAACTGCTTTGTTATCTGGGTTGAAAGAAAATTTAAGGTGTACTGGGATAATGGTAGGGTATAAATGTACTGTTTAGTTGTTAGAGGACTTCATAAACAAAATAATTCGAATGTTCAGCCTCATTCTCTATAGAATGTTACCAGCTGAGAGAGATAGTGATAGAGACGGAGAATCTGCTGCGAGAATGGTGAAATTTTTGAAGCCAAACAAAGCTGTTATCATTCCTCAACGCAAATATGCGACCTGCAAAGCTGTGACCGTAAGGGCATCTGATGAAGAAAAAAGGGACAGGCCAAATGATCATTGTTTGGTTGTAGGTCTCTCAAAGTACCGGGAGAAAGTGATCCATAGCAATGCAACAAAGAAGCAGGCGAAGAAATCTTGTATGAAGGCTTTCATCAAGCTTGTGCACTACAAGCACATCATGCTTACTTGTTACACACTCGATGTGGATCTAAAGGACGTTTTCAATGCTGATGATACTGAGGCACTTGACAAAAAGGTGACTGGTGCGAAAGAGGCCAAGGCTAGGCTTGAGGAGAGGCTCAAGACCGGAAAAAATCGCTGGTTCTTCTCTCGATAACATTAACTTTTTAATATATAGTGCAGACATTCTTGCAATTGGCTATTCTTTTACATATTTATCTGCAGGGTGAAAGCAAATGAGCTTTGATATATGGTCAAATGAATGAACCTCCTGGTGCTCGAGCTGACGTTGGGCTCACTGAACTGACAGGTTAGATCTATTTCATTTAAAACAATCCAGGTGAATTAAGTGGCCTTTGGAGGCCTTTTGATTTTCCATACATACTTCCAAGGCCACTTGTCAAACATACCATTTTGAGAGAACTTGACCGTGAACTGCCCATCTTTGGGATCCCCCCATACCATTTGTCTTGTTGCTGTATATCAATTCTGTAGTGTTCTAGAGTGACTACAAAGTGAGGAGGTAATGGAGTTCAAGTAAAAAAGTTCCTTCTGAATTGAGGGATCCAAGAGTTGTTGTCTCTTTATTGTTCGAGAGATGACACTTAGTTGTTTGCTATCAGGAATAGTCCATGATATGAGTCTTTGAAAGCATTGTTGTCAAGCCAATTATCCTTCTAGAATTAAGCTTGAGATCTATTGCCACCTTTATAGGAGATATTCTTGAAGAAGTTTGCTTGGTGGCTTCTAATGTACTCCCAACCTCCATGAGTTCATGAGCCTATTTCAGAACACCAATAAGTGTGGGTTGGGGGGGGGGGATGGGGGGTCCTCGAGGCGTAGCGCCTCGGGATCCCTCGGGGTATT